CCTTCCGAGGAGTGGCTGGTGGGTTTGAACCGCCAGCCTTCTGGTGAGCAGTCAAGTGCCTTAGGCACTATGCTACCAGAGCTCCTTCGGAAACCCAAGGAGGGGGCGCTATGAGTCGGTCGGACTCCACGGCACATAACAACAACAACAACAGTGTATGCTAGACTCCGTGCTAGGCACTAGGAATAATCAGGGGAAAAAAAACAACAACAAAAAACCTCACTGTCATCCGGTGGATTCTGACTCATAATGACTCTCATTGGGTTTCCAAGGTTGTGAATATATATGGAAGCAGACTTTCTTTCGTCTACCAACGAGTAACCTTTTGGTTGCAGCCAAATGTCTTAACCACTACACCACCCGAGCTCCCCAGAAGAAGAATAAAAGGTTTGTGCCTTTTGGGAAGGCACAGCCCAGTTGGGGAAAGAGAGAATTACAGTACAAATAGATGCAAATAAAGGAAGGGACAGAGACTCAGATTTTGGGAGACAGACATGGAGATCCAAAGATGGAGACTCTGAGATACAGAGAGACACATAGAAAGAAATATGTTGAGATACAGAGGAACAGAGATACTGACACAGGGTTACGGAGACGGTTGTGGAGAGCCACTAAGAGACAAAGATACTAGGAGACAGACATTCTGAGACAGAACTTCTGAGAAGCACAAACCCGGAGAGGCATAAAGAGAGAAGCAAAAATATCTTTCACCAGCTCAGCCTTTGCTACTCTCCTCTGTTTGTGTCTAAACTGTTTTAAGCCCAGAATCCTAGATCACACATTGCAGATTAGACCTCAATCAGAAGTTGTCATTAAGACTCAGATCTCTGGTCCTCCTGGAACAACTTTAAACAAGCATCCCAACTGAGCCCAACTAGTGCCTAAGGCACTTGACTGCTAACCAAAAAGCTGGTGGTTCAAACCCACCAGCCACTCCTCGGAAGGAAGATGGGGCAATCTACTTCCATAATGATATTGCCTCAGAAACCCAAGGAGGGGTCGCTATGAGTCGGGTCCAACTCAATGGCACATAACAACAACAACAATCCTCTAGACATATAATCTGTCTTCCTTCCATGCTTTCCTCCAATCCAAGGTCTTCAGGCTATAAATCTTGGTCTACATTTTTCACCCTCATACTGCCTTAGGTTTCCTTTATCTGAATTATCTCCCCATCTGCTTTTGTTGCCAACCACTACATTCAAGGTCACTACACCATTTTCATCAAAGGATTTAGCACCTGGTTCACAATCTTCATGTCTATTTGAAGCTCTCTCATCAATTCATACTACTCTTCACCTGGTCTGATATGTGGCAGTCACAATGAACTCCTGTCTGTTCATCTTTGCATTAGCTATTTCCACTTTTGGGAATGCTCCCCACCTAATCTCTGCATGACCTCCTTTTTTGGGGGGAAGGTCATTCAGAACTATGTATGTCACTTCCCCAGAGGTGTTCTCTCTGACCACTTAAGTTGTAGTCACCCATTCACTGTACCTTTATGTATTTTAATTTTCTGCAAAACACTTCAAACTAAAAACTCACTGCCATCGGGTTGAATGCGACTCATAGCGACCCCTCCTTGGATTTCTGAGGCGGTGTTACTACAGAAGTAGATTGCCCAACCTTCCTTCTGAGGAGTGGCTGGTGGGTTTGAACCCTCAGCCTTCTGGTTAGCAGTCAAATTCCTTAGGCACTACACCACCAGAGCTCCTCTGCAAAACACTTATAGGTCCATGATTCTTTTTTCCAGTGCTTGGGGCCAGATGTGTTTTGGAATTTAGATTTTTTTTTTCAATTTTACCAAGGATTAATTAGTGCCTAAGGCACTTGACTGCTAACCAGAAGGCTGGTGGTTCAAGCCCACCAGCCACTCCTCAGAAAGAAGGTTGGGCAATCTACTTCCGTAGTGATAATGCCTCAGAAAGCCAAAGAGGGGTTGCTATGAGTTGGATCCGACTCGACGGCACATAACAACAACAACAACATACTCAAGAAAGATCTAGAGCATCACCTAGAATTGTTGTTAGTTGCTGTCTTAGGCTAGGTTCTCCAGAGAAGCAAAAGCAGTGAGACATATATATATATATATATACATATATATATGTATATGGAGAGAGAGAGAGAGAGAAATTTATTGCAGGGAAATGGCCAGCTGTAGAGGCTGGCAAGTCCCAAATTTGTGGATCAAACATGAAGCTGGAGTCTTCTTCTGACTCATGCGGCTACAGGAGCTGACAAACCCAAGATGGGCAGGCAGTAAGTATATCAGGGTGCTGACTTCAGTAGATGATAAGTCCAAGATCTACAGGTAAAATGGCAGATTGCTGGCTCACAGACTACAAAGGCAACAATCCCAAGATCAGTAGGCAATATGGCAGGCCTCTGGTAACCAGAAGATGATGACGCACTAGATGCAGGATCCAGATGCAACAGAAAGCCTTATAATTTTCCCAGGATGTCCATAGATGTGTTGGAAGCAGGCCACATCCCTGAGGAAACTACCTTTCAACCGATTGGCTGCTCATAGTATATCTCATCATGGAATGACTACATAACATCTGCTTACACCACATAGAATCATGGTCTAGCCAAGTTAACACATAGCCTTAACTATCACTGTTGCCATCGAGGCAGTTTGGACTCATAGTGACCCAATGTACAACAGAACAAAACACTGCCCAATCCTTTGCTATCCTCACAATTGTTGCTGTGCTTGAGCCCATTGTTGCAGCCACTGTTATCAATCCATCTTGTTGACGGTCTTCCCCTTTTTTTGTTGACTGTCTATTTTACCAAGTATAATATCTGTGATCGTTAAACTTGTATGTCAACTTGGCTGGGCCTGGTTGAGTGGCTGGGCAACTGGTGGTAGTTATTTCTCATTATGAGACTGGCAATCAACTCCATGGTGGGATCTACCACAAGCAGCTGAGTAGCTGCTTTAGGGATGTGGACT